ACTCCAAACACGAGCCATCAAAATGCACAGAAGATGGTGAGAACATACCTTCCTAACAATATCTCTGCCAGTCCCTAGTAATTCCCCTCCCAAATACCATTAGTCCAGTTTACCGTCAAAAGGGCAAACGACAAAACCGCGCCCGACTAAACCGCGGTGATAAAACCGTGTGTCCTAAAGCGCTCCGACGAATGAGCGCTGAATTGCGCCGACAACAGCCTGGAGACAGAAGCGCGCTGTAAAACTAAACCTAAACCTAATCCCTAACGCTAAACGTAACGCTAAACGTAACGCTAAACCTAACCCTTAACCTAACCCTAAACCTAACCCTAACCCTAACCCTAACCTTAAACCTAACCCTTACCTTAAGTTAAATCGGCTTTCTGTCTCCGCGCTATTGTAAAAGCGCCCTTCTGTCTCTGCGCTGTTGTCTCTGCGCTGTTGTCGCCGCATTGATGACATCGCGGTTTTAGGGTCACGGTTTAGTCGGGCGCGGTTTTGACGTTCGCCCTTTTGTCGGGTCATGCATTAGTCCCCACCCTCCCCGTTACTATGGCAGCCGATAGCAAGGAAGCAAAGTAGAGGCTGACAATATGTCTATTGATGGCTAATTTCCCAGAGTGCCAGACTTCTAAAAAATCCCTGGCATTTTTGGACTTGGCCTGGTCTAGGATTGTCACAGTTTCCCAATTGAAACTATTGTTAAATCTGTCTATACCTTATGAAATTAAAGAATTTTTGTCATGTCTTCTGGCTGCCAGTTGGTGTTCATGGATACATTCTGCCAGTCTTCTGTCTGTTTGTCCTACATAGTGATTGTTGCAGTTCTTACATTGTATATTGTAGATGACTCCTGTTTTTTCTTCTGAAGTTTCTGGGTCTTTTAGTTTGTTTATGATGTTTTGAAAGGCTTTAGTTTGCTTGTGTGCTATGCTGATTCCATGTGGTTGTAGATGTATAGCAGTGTAATTCTTTTTAGGGTTTCTGTTGATTGTGCTGTGTTGGGTTGAGTGGTCAGGGATGTGTTTCTATGTATTGTATAGATGCTGCATTTTCTTTTTCTGCTGTTCTGAGCAGGGTGGATTTGATTTGAATCAAGTTGATTTAAAACATGATTTTAATCACTAGTAAAAAGGCTTGATTTAAATCAACTCGATTTAAATCATAATTTTTAAAGAGCACTTGTCATCTCTGTCCCGCAGCGGCTCCTCCTCTGACCTCCTGTTGTTTCACTTTCAGTCCCAATATTGCAGAATATACAGTCTCGTGCTACATAACTAAGATCCATTTCATGTTGAATAAACTAAATTATTAATGTATCTTAAATAGAAATCTATCTGTTGGAAGAAATGTCCTTCTGGGTTCGGCTCCAAGTGGGGGAAAAAGACACTGGAGATATGGAGGCTGCTTGGAAAGATGGTTTATTGGTGGACAGGACCACATGGCTTGAGTCCTGAATAGAAAAGGTGATCACATGCTTCATGTGGAGAAAAAGAGAAGGGCAGAAGAGAAGCTGAGTCCCTGGTTTTATGCCCTCTCTGGCCTTTGATCTTGAGCTTGCATTCTGATTGGTTGTCAGACTCCCATGGGGCCATGCAGGGGCAACTCTCTAGGCTGCGTTTTGAATCCAGGGTTGGTTGAGTTCTCAGATGCCATGTGGCGAGTTGGGTAAAGGGTCAATATCATCATGCCTTAATCCCATCACTCTGGATCTGAAGGGGAGAACTCTTTATTATGTAAAGTGGACTAGCTCAGGGTTTAATGGTTCATTGACAAAGCGGGATGGGCAGGAAGCTGCAGGCAGCTATTCTTTTAAAACATGTTTCTTTCTTACAATGGCATACTGTTTTTTTTAAAAAAA